GCTTCTGATAATTAGTTTAGCATGTGTACGTAATCTATATTCTTATTTACGTCTGATCAGCAGGGAGTTCTAATTCCGTGACGCAATAATGTCACCGACGCGTCGTTATTTTCGGTCATTAAGGACGATCGTATTCAAAGTACACCGCTAAGAGTATCTGCATAAGATACGATCTCACTAATGACTCCCGCAATTTAAGGATTTAGCATAACAACGCAAATCCTATCTCACCGGCATACGTTGAAATAATTCGTAAGATTGTAACGCGACTTCTGCAATACCTTCCCCGATGACCCGGAATAGCTCGGGCGTTTAATTACGCGCTCTCTGTTGTCGTTACGCTCGAGATACCATGTGGCTTCGCGAAAAATGTACGACTGGAGGAGAGTTTTAACTAACTAAAGGAGAAGAAGAGGGAACCACTCGATACAATAAAGCTATCCGCTTTAATTAATGCGCATTGCTCCGTGCCCGTCCCGCGGGCAAATTGCATGATTCTCGTCTGGTGTCGCGCTGCGTGCCAGGAATTCGTGAGCGGAATCGCTACGCAAGGTGACTATCGAGCGGTTTATTTCATCAGGTCACACGGAGAGACGGGGTAAGAAGCCTGGCCCGAAATGCAAATTCCCTCGGCTACAGGGCCGTTTACGAGATCAACGCACCACTTGGATTAGACTAAGAGCCTAAGCCTGCCCGGGCGTCTCGCGAAAAGTGCGAACGTCGAGAGATATTCCTACGCTCGCTCTGTCCCCGCACCTTTCATTCTGTTCGCGCGCACACTCGCGCGGACTTGAAATGAGGGATCAAAGAACATCATATCACAAAAGCGATAGCGTGTGACGATACACTGAGAGAAAAAAATAGTTGGAATAACTATAATCTCTCTATATTTTATAGTTCGTTTTGACCTCAAACATATATTTATAGTTCATCTAAACATGAAGATATAGTAGAATGAACACAGATTTATAGTCACCATCTTATTACTTTATATATATGGTAAAGCACCTTTTGGGAATATAGTTACATGTACCTATATTTGCCAAATATTCCAATTGTATTGATTATATAAAATAATTAATTTCTCTTACCATTCAATATTTGTCACCTTACCATATTTTTTATTTCAAATAATTATAATTTTTGGTAAAAATTTTACACGAGTCAGTTATACTATACTTATATTGTAAATATTACAAATATTATAGTAACATTTACTATAAAAATTATATTCCTAACTATAATATTTTTACTATGCCATTATAGTTCCAAATATCATATATTTTTCTCTCAGTGTACGATAACGCCGCGCTAAGGATATAATAAACCGATTCGTGTACCTCTCTGGACACTCTCGTTACACTGGTTTAAATGCAAATATTTTAATACAATAAATACAAATATTTAGGTATAATAAATACAGATGTAATAAATATTTAAATATCTACACCTTCATCATGGAATATACGCACCTGACTAATATTGACACATGTATGTAAATGGAACTTGTCAAACTGAACACGAAATTTCCCCAACATTTCGCAAACAACTACGTAATTTGAAATTATTAATGAAAGAAGATTGATTTCGCGCGCGATTAGCTCGTGATGACGACGTCTGCCATCGTGTGCATTGGATCAAACTGAAGAAAAAGGTTCATTTTGCAGACGACCACATCGATTCTCAACTATTAATTTAAAGAAGATTGATGCACAGTTGTCCACGATAATGCACCGATCCTCCTTAATTAATGATTCAAAATTTTACGCGGTTGTTTGCGAAATGATAGAGGAACTTTGCTCCTACCTGCACTGAGAGAAAAAAATAGTTGGAATAACTATAATTTCACTATATTTTATAGTTCGTTTTGGCCTCAAACATATATTTATAGTTCATCTAAATATGAAGATATAGTAGAATGAACACAGATTTATAGTCACCATCTTATTTCTCTATATATATGGTAAAGCACTTTTTGGGAATATAGTTACATGTACCTATATCTGCCAAATATTCCAATTGTATTGACTATGTAAAATAGTCAATTTCTCTTACCACTCAATATTTGCTGCCTTACTATATTTTTTATTTCAAATAATAATAATTCTTGGTAAAAATTTTACACGGGTTAGTTATATTATGCTTATATTGTAAATATTACAAATATTATAGTAACATTTACTATAAAAATTATATTCCTAACTATAATCTTTTTACTATGCCATTATAGTTCCAAATATCATACATTTTTTTCTCAGTGTGCACGCAACGGATGTATTAATAACTGTCAGCCTGTCTATATATTCAATATATGTGTATACATTTCACATTGAAAATTTAAATATTTGCATTTAAAGATTGAGACAATAAGGTCGGTATTCATAGTCGAATCTTATTTCAAGACCGTCTTAAGTAATATCTTAAGATGCGAATACGGCTCTGTGATTGGTTCATGACGTCTTAAGATAGTACTTAAGATGATCTTAAATATAAGATCGGACTATGAATATTGGCCTAAAAGTATCCAGGATCTCAAGCACGCGTCCGGACATTGGCGCTTTCGCCTTACTGTTTTTTCTTTTTTTTTCACAATAACGCAACTATGTATGTCGACAACGTACATGTAACAGACAGAGTTGCGAAGCGTTTTAACGAACGCGACGATGAATCTTTGAAGAGCGTTGCCTTGTTACTGCACGAACCGCGGTTACGCGCAAATCCGACGCGATTTTCCGTTCGCGTTGTAACAGTCGGAGTGCGACGTTGAAGCGAATACACATCGGGCACGTTAATTGGACGCTCGTTATTTTTCACTCCGGCCCCGGCAGCCGTGGCTTGGAGAGAGTTAGCCGTTCGGAGAGGGTTAGCCGTGATATCGGAAAACAATCAGAAATTCACCCACACCGGCGCGGCGCGGCGTCTCCCTTCACCACGTTCAATCTCGCCGCGCCCTTGGAAGAGTCGCGGAGGAACACGGAAGAGCGTCTCCGCGTGACCTCGAGTTAATTCTCACCGTATATCCTCCCTTTCGATATTTCTGACTCCCTTTATCCGTCTCTCTCTTCCCGGCACCCTTATCTACGCCGTCTCGACGCCTCGTTCCTCCTCCTCGCCGTTCCGTCGATTCACGACGAGGAGGAAAAGCGCGAGAGTCAGGTGCCAGTTACCAGCGAGGTCGGCGGGCGATATAAAATATGGCCTTGTAAGGCAAGGCGCTTCCTCTCCTCCTCACGGAGGACCGAAATAACGTGCCTCGTCGTTAACGAGTCGCCATATATCTCCCGGATTCTGATCTCCGCGCTACGTAACCTAAGCTATCGCGCGAACGTCGTCGCATCGATGCTCCCTTACATGCCCGAGCAACTTATATGCGAAATATGCGATCGAGTGTCGCGTAACGATACGGAATGTGCCGGTGATACTTGACGTAAGACGATACTTGGAATCGCGTGCCTAATCTACGTCGAAGCGAGACGAGCGCAAATACGTTACTCTCTTAACCTTTTCGCTGGCACGTTTATTCCACTGTTTGTGCCTCGGTGGGCAGAGAAAAAAGTCGGAGAATTTTTTTGAAAATTGGTGTACAGAAGGTTTTTGGGTCGCTGAATACGATTTTGAGGTCAGAATTGTAAAATTCAAAATGGCGGCAAAGTACTTACTATACTTATGCTTGTGGTGTGTTGCTTCTAATATGTTTCTTGTAATGTCATGATATTCGATATTATAAAATTTAGAATTATGAGTTCTCAAACAAAATCAACGAATCCCTGAAAGTCTTTATAACAAGTTTCAAAAGACTATGGATTTTTCGAATTTATGATCCGTCATATTGGATCCATCATATTGGTCCGCCATTTTGAATTTTACAATTCTGACCTCAAAATCGTATTCAGCGATCCCAAAAACTCCTCTATATCAAGTTTTAATAAAATCGAACAAGATGTTTCATTTTTCGAATATAACGATCCGCCATATTGGATTCACCATTTTGAATTCTGACTTCAAAATCGTATTCAGCGATCCCAAAAACTCCTCTATATCAAGTTTTAATAAAATCGAACAAGATGTTTCATTTTTCGAATATAACGATCCGCCATATTGGATTCACCATTTTGAATTCTGACTTCAAAATCGTATTCAGAGACCCCAAAAACCCCTATATACAGAATATAACAAAATTTGCACCATTGAATCGCAAAATAAATGCATGACGCCAATTGCCTATGGCGTCATTGCCTATCTAGGCACGTTTCTCTTTTACGCCAATTGGCGTCATTGCCAGCGAAGGGGTTAAAATGAATCAGTCAAACATCACTGAAAACAGTGAATATATTGCTGATTGCAGTTATAAATATAACATTGAAAGTACTCAATGCTATACTCATAAATGATATCAGTGACTATTCACTAATTCACTTTAAGAGAGTATATATTGAGAGAAAAATTTGGTATTTACAACTATAATTATATAGAGAAATAATTATTATAAATTGTGGTCAAGACAACCATTTTTTAGTCAATTGTACTATCATTTTAGTAGTAATAATCTTATATGTATGTTACTACTACTATCTTCGTGTTGGAACAACCAAAAAATATAGTTGGTATCAAATTGGGTCTCAGCTATATTTTTTTATTGTTCCAACACGAAGATAGTAGTAATAATATGCATATAAAATTATTATCATTAAAACTATAGTACAATTGATTAAAAAATGGTTGTCTTAACCATAATTTATAGTAATTATTTTTCTATATAATTATAATTACAAATATCAAACATTTTTCTCTCAGTGTAGAATTCCGAGCGAAGCTTTACTCAATGTGGTCTAAATATAGTCTATAATAGTTTATAATAGTTTATATAATAGTCTATAATATAGTCTATAATATAGTCTATAATAATCAATATTTTGATTTCTCGCAGGAGAAGCCAATAGAGCCTGCCCGAAGAATCACGTATTTGAAAATCTCATGAGATCAAGGAGATTCCGGGAAGGACTGAATCCAAGATGGACCAACATCATTCGTATTCAAGATGGATTAATCGAACATGGATGCGAGTATTCTCAATATAGTCCTCGCTATATCGCGTGAGAGGTGAGAGAAGTGTCTTTTCTCTTAAATACTACCGTCTCTTCGATGATCAGCCGCTGTGTCCATTCTGCCACTTGATAGTCCAGAAGCAGAGTGGACATTGTGTCTCATCGTCGGTGAAGCGAAAATGACCACGGAAGTATAGAGAGGGTGCTTGGAACTATAAGATTTCAAATGGAAAGAGAGAAGGAAAGAGGAAGAGATTCGTTCACATGTAAAATAACTCTTTTATGTTCAGAACTATTTCAATTGTTGTTAAGGTCAAAAGTGATTTCGACAGTTGATGCAACATTGCTGTACACAGAATTGCATATATGCCTAGCTATTCCCTAGTCATGTGTGTCCTAATCGAGAGTTACTAAAAATTTTCGAACTAATATATTCGTTTCTAAATAGTCAAGGGGAACAATTAAGGGGATAGTCAATTTTTAGTAACTATCGATTAAAACACACACATACATAGTTAGGCATAGCCTCTGTATGCAATCCTCTGTATGTATATTTTGATATATCGGAAATATAGAGAAAAAAATGAAAGTTTTAAGCCCGTATTAATAATCATTACTTGAGATCTGCTTCAAGTGAGATATTAAGGTTTGAATTTAAAGTTAGATGCAAATCCTTCTGCTGAATCGCAACTGCGAATGTAATGTCGCATATATCGTATGATTCAAGTAAAAAACTCAAATCTGATTCTGAATTCGTATGAGTATCTCACGCGGGATAAGTTTCAAGCAATGACTAGTAATACGGGCTTAAGAATGTTCAAATTGCATCCTTTTATTTCAAGAACAGATTTCATCTCAAGGGGTTTCTCTCAAACGATCTGTTTCCTTTTTAGGTTCTCTCTGGAAATACCTGTCACCAGTTTTCACACAAAATATAAGCAAAACGAACCATCGTCATTAACGCACGGCACGAAGATACGTTACTATCATACATTACAGGTTACTAAGCGCGTTTATTGTCAGCCTTATTATTACGAGCGACAACGTGAGATGCTTTCGACCGAGCGAGGTCGAAAGACGCGCGATCGATCGGAGCTCGGAGCCAGGCGTCGCGCGCGTTTTAATTTCCATCCTGGCACCTCCTGGACTCCTCCAATTTCCGGTCCATTGGTGTGAGAGGAAGCGCGGAAGCGCGGACGCGCGAGGAAGCGCGAGAGCCGCGTCCAACGTCCCGTACCGACGAGATAATAATTCATAACGCCGGCAAAAAACAGGGACATTTTTCTTCACGACCGTAAAAGTTCGTACTCGCTCGCTCGCTCGCCGAAATTTCGAGAGGTAGATTTTCCCTCTTTTATCGTGGCGTAGTCTCCGCGGTCGTAAGCTGGTAGGCGCTGTGACCTACTATTCCGCGCGCGCTCTCGGCGTTTCGCCATATTTCATAACGCGCGAGCACACCGTGACGTACGTCGCGTGCAGACGAACTATAATAATGGACGCTACGCTTTTCGGAAAAGTGCAGTAAAAGCGACTCGCCCGTGCCCGCCATCCGTGTATTAATGACGTCGCGTTGGGTCAGCGCAGGGCAGCGTGAAGGCACGTGCCAGTTGAGATTTCAACAAACACGAAGACGCAACGTCGCGACCGGAGATTACTTTTTGGCGAATTTATCGCGCTCAACTCAACGGACATATGACGTCCGCAGTGCACGAGCGCCTCTAAATAAAATGTCCGCGCCTTTCCCCCCCTGACACCGCCGTGGAAGTCACCGGTGACGTGTGTAACGTGAGCTGTTGTGCCGTGTGTTGTTCGCATTGTGAATAAAAATAATCACGTGAGCCATCTAATCTGTTTCCACCGAAAAACGAATTTCGAGTGGACGCGAAACCACGGAATTGGCGTTACCCGACGTAACTCCGCATTAAATGAGGGTGGAGACGGGAGGAGGAGACTTTTCCACGCCGCGGGAAAGCGGGGCACCGATTTGTAAAGCTATGGGGGAGCAGGTGCACGTGAAAGGCGGGCGTACACTAACACCCTTGTGGTCGAATTCAAGCGGGTACATTATCGCGCGGAAAGCCCGAAACACACACGCGCGCGAAACCAGAAACGAGAAGCTGAAGAAGAAGAGGGAGAGAGAGAGAGAGAGAGAGAGAGAGAGAAGCGAGAGAGTAGACGAAAAGCTGAAGAAAAGAGAAACGAGACGAGGCAAGAGACGCCTTTGGTGTATTTGGCTCCTTTTTCCCGTCTGACAATAAAGGAGCGTGTGCGATACATACGTCTCCACTCGCGTCGCTTACCATTCGATAAAAACGCGGCTTACGCTCATTAGATTCAACCAAACCATCGACGTCATTACCTTCTTAAGCTCGTTATATCCGTCGTTATATAAGAAGAGATCTAATCATGATATGGCATCTCGATATTTTTCGACGTTTGTAACGAAGCAATGCGTATTCTTATTCCTTCTCAGTTCTTATTCTCTCTCAGTTTCTCTCAGTCTCTCTCTCTTTCTCTCTCTCTCTCTCTCTCTCTCTCTCTCTCTCTCTCTCTCTCTCTCTCTCTCTCTCT